CTGTAAAGTTTAAGAACCGTTTGAAATTTTTGGAAAATGAACGTTTTTGGAAAATGAAATTTTTGGAAATTTGGAAAACAGACCCAGGTTGAAAACTTTGCATTTACAGATTTTTTTGAAAATTTCCTGGTTTTTCAGCTTTTTGATGAAATCTGAAAGACATATCTTTTTTGCTTTTTTGCACTGAAAACGTGGAAAACAGGATTTTTTTCTAGAAATCTGAATTTTCGAGAAATGCTGAGAATACAAAATTTTCAATCTTTGTCTGTTTCACACCCTCCAAAAATTTCAAAATCATAAACTTGACAGTCAAGTTCCAGGCTCTTGAAAATGATTGAAAATCAACTGAAATATACGATTTTGTATATCTTATTGACCGGCACTGTATGGTCGGAGGCCCGTTTCGCGCCAGCAGAATATCTTATTTATTAATATAATTGATTGAAGAGTTCTTGATAAATTGTTTTGATGACATTTCCCCTTGAATGTGATGAAATGATATGAGTCATTGATATGATTTGTGTAAGCCATCATTTTTGAACGATCACTGTTTGCAGAGATTACTAGAGAGCAAATACTCAAAAAATTACGAAATACCGTAATCAGTCCAGTTATCACAGGTGCTGATTTTTTCCCATCCTCACCTGATTAACAACCAAATGCATCACAGCCTTTGGCACCAAATCTTTGATCGTTTTGGTGATGATTCTCATATACGAGTCGACCAAATTACGAATGGTCTCCACTTGACGCTCCAATTGAGGATCCATCGACGATTCCTCCATTTCTGGGAGCGACTCGTCCTCTGGTGCCTTCTGTTTTTCTGGATAGACTCCGGCACGCAAGAATGAAGCTTTCCAGGCATCGACTTCATCCAAATTGTTGCATCCCAACTCGAGTTGCTTGTAATCCTTGTAAATGTTCCTGAAAAAAGACAAGGTCATTTTGGAAACAAGAAAATCTTATGAATAACAATCATGCTGGTATTCAGAATCTGATCATCTATGAAGCATATCGCATGCCATTGTCCGAACTGAAACTGTCACAGCAGGAATGGAAAGAATAGAAACTACAAAAGGAAAATTTTAGGGGAATCTTTTTGGGTTGGTTCGGAAATTGTCCAAAAAAATATGAAGGGTAGAAGAAACTGTTCACAATGACGACAACACAGATATTCAATGATTCTTGTCTTACAAATCATATCTCTTAAAGATAGAGTTGAAACAAGGTAAGAGAAGAGAAGAAGCGGTAAAATATAGATTAAACTATACACTCACTTCCTGAAAAATGATTTTTAATTTTCAAATGGAGAAATTTTTTTCGATTTCTAACGGAGAAAATAGTCATGCTAATACAGTAGTGCTTTTGTGATTTTGAGAAAAATTTTCCTAGCTTAATACTACTACTGTGGATAATGACGTTGATGAAAAAGCGTGCGAATTTCGAAAATTTTTGTAGCTGCAGTAACGGTCTATAAGATATACAAAAGCATTTTTTTAAATTGATTCTGACTACTTTCAGTGTCTGGACGCCGGCTGTCTAGTTTTTGATCAATTTGAAATCTTGGGAGCGTGTAGAACAGACTTGAATTGAAAACTTTGCATTTACAGAATTTAGGGAAAATTCCTAGTTTTTCAGCTATTCGCCGATTTCTAAAAAGTATCCTTTTTCTGTTTTTGCACTGAAAACGGAACAGTTGCTTTTCAAAAATCAGCAAATATTTCAAAAAACATGAAGTTTTCAAAAAACTGTAAGTGCAAAGATTCGAGTTAGATCTGTTCTACACCCTCAAAAAATTTCAAAGTGATCGCAATTTTGACACCCAAGCCCCAGACTTCTGAAAATGATCGCAATCAACTGAAAACTACATATTTTGTATACTTTATGGACCAATACAGTTCATATGAATATATATATACTGTCTGTTCAAAAAAATCTGGACAAGGGGCGGGGCTTCCGCGACACGCCCCTTTATGCAACGTGTGCGCACACTTTTTCGGGGATATTTTTCTCAGAATTTTCAGATGTATTTTTCCACAATTTTTCTCATTGAAATTGAATAAAATTGAGATTTTAATGTAAAATCATCCAGAAAATATCAATTTTATCCAGAATTGCTTCAGTGCCTTCATACCTTGACGGCGTTAGCTTCTTGGGGTTGCCGGTTGATGGCGGAAAGTTCGTTCTGGTGTGCTACTCATGTTTTCTGGATGATTTTACACTAAAAACTCAATTTTTTCCAATTTCAATCAGAAAAAGTGTAAAAAATGACATCTGAAAATTCCGGGAAAAATATCCCCAAAAAAGTGTGCGCCACTATTGCAAAAAGGGGCGTATCAGGAACGCCCTAAAACGTGGGCTGCGGCGCGCCCACGTTTTATTGAATAGACAGTATATATTCTTTTTTAAATCCCTGAAAATATCAAGGATACTCACTTTCCATCCGGGTAGAAAAGTGCAAACTTGTGTTGACGCGACATGAATCCCCTCTCGATATCCCTCAATCTGATTCCATCCAATGGAAGCATAATACTTTTTCTCTTTTTCCTAAAATTTATCGCTTTTTGCATTCCGAAAGTTGTCTAATAATACCTCATCATCCTTGTACCAACTCAGGCTGTCAGAAGTCAAGACGAACCAACAGTCCTTGGATCCACGAACAAAGGAGATGTTGCTCACTGAGAGCCACCCCTTACGGATCACCTGATTTCCGAGGTTCTTCTTAGCCGATTGACCTTGTGATGCTTTTGCTTCAGCGCTGAAATAATTTGTGATGCTACGCGCCTAAAAAATTGGCTCTTACTTGCTGAAACCGATAAAATCCTCATGATTGGTGTTCATGTAGGCCAACTCGTAGTCGACGATCAATCCAATCTGTTGCTTGGCAGTTTGCTCACGCTCCCGCATATACGACACCACAATTCTCTCCAACTCATCACGAAGACGTGGGTATCTAGCCATAGTGTCAGCACACTGTCTGATAACATTGGCCAACTCATTGACGACCAAGTCCACGCACTTCAACGATGGCTCCTTCAGACGAGCGATCTGCTTCTTGGCGATCGCTTCGAAAGCCATATCTGGAGTGAAGAGACCAACACGGATACCATGGATGTTACGGATAGCGAATTGAATCTCTTTTCGCATCTCCTTCTCGTCGATTTCCATTTTGACAATTTCGAATGGGAAACGCTCGTGGAAAAGACGATTGATGCGGGCTCCTCCAGATAGCTCATTGGTAGAAACCAGTTTGGCAGAAGATCCTTCGATAGAGCGCTCGATGTCAGCGTTGAATTGAGTGACCATTCTGAAATAATGATATTTTACTTTTGAAGTTTTGATCTTCATTTTTTAAGTCCTTTGAAAAAGACAACTCACTGTAAAAGAGCTTTGGTCTTGCGTCCAGGATCATTTGGCTGGAAGTTCTTATACTCAGCAACATCCTTCTCCATAGCAAACATCTTCTTTTGAAGACTATCACGAAGTGTTGGAAGAGTGTCACGGATATGATTGGTGAGTTGTTGATTAAGAGTATGTTGGAGATAAGTGGTTCCCAAACGGTCAGCCATATGTCTGTACGATGGATGAGAAATGAAGAATTTGCGTTCGGCATCCAAGGCAGCTCGAATATCCTTGCGTCCCACAATATCCTTCTGTCCACGATTAACAACTCCAACATATCCACGACGAAGGGTGAACAACTTGTTCTCCAGAATTTCACGAGCATCGGTTCCCTCGTCCATCAAGTCGAGTTTGGTAAGAACACCAATAGTACGAAGTCCTTGTGGATCGACTTCCTTGGCAAGTTTGAGAGCATCAGAAGTGGCAAGATCGCTGTTAGCTGGTGTGACGGCCAGAATGAGACAGGTCTCGCGGCTGATGAAAGTAAGGATCATGTCACGGATTTGGGTCTCGATATCGGCTGGTTGGTCTCCGACTGGAACCTTGGTAAGACCCGGAAGATCGATAAGAGTCAAGTTCAAGACATTTGGGGAGAACACACGCAGGTTGATTGGATGGGGACTGATTCCCTTGTTTTGTCCCGTGACACGATCGGTTTCATCCTCGATCTCCTTTCGGACAGCGTCAAAATCCGTGAAACGATGTCCCTTCTTGTGGAGAAACTCGGCATACTCATTGCGATCTTGAATGAGTTGCAAGATCAATGGACGACGAGTAACAATTCCAGAACCACGCGGAAGGAAGTCTCTGGAATAACATATAGACTTGGTTTGCATTTGTTTTGACGTATGCCTTCCCTGGCCATGCCATAGGTTCTTTCACAATCAAAATTTTTGAGCCTATCAGGTTAATGGAACTACAAAATGGTACTATTCGGGAAAAAATTGTCTTGTTTATGAACAAAGCAACAGACGAAACAAACCAAAAAAGGGTTCGGCCACTTTATGGCTTGTAACTTTGTTCATAGACAATATACAGTTTTCAAAATATTATCATTTTGTAGTAGTCGTCGAGTTCTATCGCATCTAATTCAGTTGTCTCAAAAATATTGGCAAAGGCCCGGTTTACAAATATGCTTATTACTCACTTTCCCACAAAATTCTCCAGTACTGATGACTTTCCGGCGGATTGTCCTCCAACGACAGCGATTTGTGGAAGTTCGAAGCTGACGTTGGTGCCGAGCTGAGAGAAAGCATCCTGGACGCGGTTGATCACAGGGATCAGCGCCTGCATTCCCTGGTTAGCCCACGCCATGGCTGGAACAGGGTGGTAATGGATTTAGAAGTGTGAACTGCCTGGAAAATCGATAAATTGAATAGCGTGATGCGAAATTAGGAAGATGCAAAACGAGAATGCGTTGCCAATCAACAGAATAAAAAGGAAACAAAGAAAATTGGCTAGTTAGCTCAAAAATAGGACAACTGGTACGAAAAAGTATGAAAAAACAGCCGATAAAAGCCGCCAAACATATCCAAAATTCAGAATCGGTGTCGGCAAAACGGTGTTTGAGTGTTTGGAAAAACAAGAAGAGGCGATCGCCATACAAAAACGCACCGAGAGAGTGAGAGAACGCAGACACGAAAGTGAGGGTAAGAGGAAAACAGAAGTGACCACAGTGAGTCACTATGAGGCCAAGAGGAAGAGGAGGAGGACGATTGCTGCGGCTTCCGTCCGATGAGAAGGCACATAACGCGGCGGGAAACGGTATATGCGCAAAGGGAAGGGCCCTTGACGTATTTCTCGATGCTTATTTTGTAATAATTATTCTAGGTAGTGACTCAGAGGTTTTGTTCATCTAAATCATCGCAACAATATGTTCTCATATTCCCCTATTAAAATCTATCATCATTGTTTTGCCCCGCATCAGTGTGAATGGGGTTGAGAGAAAACAAACAACACCTACCGTCAAAGGAAGAGTGTATCTATCACTTTATTGCTATTGGAAAACTGGAACCGAAAAAGAAAAGGAAGTGATGTAAACTTGTAAATGAGTCAAAGAATTTGTTACACTCTTTGATAAAAAATTAGAAGTGACTAATCGAAATGAAAAAAAAACAGAATAAGGCAAACTGAGTGGGTAGCCATTCCCAATAAACGATTTGGAGTGAGAAACTAAACAAAAGAAAAGTTAGAAGATATAGAACACCTATGACATAGTTAATATAAACAATTATTAAAGAGATACTGGAGGAAAAATAGTTTAATTCAGTTTTAGGACTCTTGATAAATGTAGTGAACCAATTAATGTCAACAGTCTAATTAGAAATGTTACAGTCTAATTAGAAATGTTAGTGGATCTTCTGCAATCGAATTAGTGTTTTCGCTCGATTTCTTTGGCATTAAACTTTTGAATTTGTTGTTAAACAGTCTCTTTAGATTTTAATATACAGTACTAACCAATAATTATACAGTACCAACCCTTACAGTACCAATCAATAAGATTCAGAAAACGTAATTTTCAGTTGATTTTGACCATTTTCAGATATTTCTCGATTTCTGAAATACACAATTTTTGCCTCTTCTTGTGCTGAAATTTGAAAAAGATGTCTTCCAGAAATTGGAAAATAGCTGAGAATCTAGGAACTTTCAAAAAATTTGTAAATGCAAAATTTTCAATCTATTTTTTCAACCCTCCTAAATTTTCAAAGTGATCGGAAACTTGACAACCGAGCTCTATGCTCTTGAAAATGCCAAAAATCAACAGAGAAATACGTTTCTGTTCATTTTTTGACCGATACTGTATGTATAGCAAGAGATTGCTTATATCAGCTGCTTTACGAATTGAATAGAACTTTTCAGATGCATGCATTCTAGCAACTATAAATTTATTCGTCACCATGTGGTGGTTTTGGACCCGTAGACAATATGAAGAAGCAAAAAAAAAAAAGACTAAGAAAAAAAAGAAGAAAGAAAAAGGAAGAAAAAAGAGTAGGGGAAGGAGGCGTTTTCGATTAGTCGATATTCTCCAATGTGTATGTGTGGGGCTGCGTGAGCGCACTACTCGGACGACCACGGGGGCCCCTCCGCGCACATTTTTCGCGTATGTACATATTCTTGCGCAGGGGGGATAGCGAAAAAAGAAGACGTCGATGAAGAAGAAGAAGAAGCAGAAGACGAAGAATAGACAGGACGTGTTAGAGCTCCCGAAGCACAGAGCGCGGCAGTTTGAAGCTCTTTTTGCTGCCCTCTTTTCTCCCATGGCTCCCACAAAAAAGGAGAAGAACTGACGGAGAGGAGCCGTTGGCGACGATGACGACTTCGCTGTGACCCCCCATGGTCCCGGGGTCCAATGCTATTGAAAGAAGAGAGTAAAGAAGAGGAAAAAGTTTGGTTTTTTTTTTTGCTTTCCAGATCTGTCTATACAAAGTATTTCAAATAGTGACAGACAGAATATTGGTTGGAAAACAACGAATTCTTATTTTTCCTCCAAATATCTTTTTTTGTGTTTGTGCTGCTGATCCGAAAGACATTGCAAGAAAAAAGAAAAATTATTATCCATGGTTTTGTTTTGTTATTTTCGTCAGGATTATCATTCCGCGAATTTGCATGGAGAAAAATTTCTTGTTTGGATTTTGGTAGAAGTTTGTTGCAGTTGCTTCTGTTTTTTAATTACAGTAACATGACAAGATTATGATTTGCTATAGATAGCTGGAAGTTTAAAAAGTTTAGAGCTCTTTGAAAAATAAGGACTGGAGGAATATAAAAACGAAGAGAAAATGGAAAAAAAGTGAAAAGCGAGGCTGGAGGAGCTTCAGTATCATGGATATCCCCCCCTGGAAATGAGTAGTCAGGGACGCCGTTGCCATCTAATTGGCTGAATTCGATTTGTGTTCCCAATTCTTCTTGTTTGCTTCTGAGTCGGAGCCAAAAACATCAAACGGAGATGTGTCGACGGGAGAGGTTTGGAAAATGAGAAGCAACTTGGGATTGTTAGATGGTATCGGGCTGGTAACCAGGTTGGGTCGAGTAACCAGATACAGAGGAAAAATGAAAATCGATTTGAAGGAAGTCATGAAAAAGTAATGGAAATCACTTTTGAGTTTGATTAGTAAATTAATTCCAAAATTTTCCAAAAATAGAGTCCTAGTCCCGCGGAATTCATCAGACATAGTCAAACGGGGTTTTCAAATCTGGTGATGGTATGAGAGAGTTGGAACTCAATTTGGAACAGAAGTGAGAAATTCTGTGATCTGAGTTTTTTTTTCTTATAATAATTCAGATGAGAGCATGATATAGATACTGGATTTGACAATAAACCGATCAGATACTGGCAGAAAACTCTCACGAGCTTGGTTCAAGGATTTGATTCACGATTCCAACTAAATTGAGCCCAGAGATGCATTACTACACTCTCAAATCACCATCATAAGCCTCCGACACTAAATTTACAGCTATTTTCAGAGATAAAATATGTGAACAAATAAGAAAAAAGTATTTGGGAGTATTGGGTGATACTATTTTTGTTGAAATACTGTAAATAATCAAGTAAAAGCCCACCCTATAAGTGAACTTCGAGCTCTATTATCTCAATTCCTTCAAGAGACATAGAAAAATGATCAACTAATAAATTATATATCAAAACGTCACCAAAATTTTATCAATTGACAGTTTTTCAATATCTTTTGAAGGAACCGAGATAATTGAGACCAATGATCCCGAAACAAAAATTACAGTAACCGGGCAACCTTTTAATTTCCTAAAGTTCCTTTTCTCAATTTTCACTGATTTTAGATACATTTTTTTAGTTTGATCCTTCCAAGCAACTCAAAAAGTGGAGGAAAAAACGCGAAAATCAAAAAAAAAATAGATCCGGGAAACGAAAAAGTCCTCAGATTACGGTACTTCTCATTTTGAGGCATTTTATTACGGTAACCAACTTCTACTGTCTCAATTTTTTAAAAACAGTACAATTCTAGGTTTTTGATAAATGGCGTTACTGGGTGAATTTCTTCGTAAATGGAAATATGAAAACCATTTTAAAAACAGAACTTCTCACTTCTGTTCCAAATTTAGTTCCAACTCATAGATCATACAACTCACCCATATCCAAACCAAATTTAAAAACGATTTTTGATGAATCCCGTGGGACTGCGGCTCAATTTTTGAAGACCTCATGTGAGTCCTGTCTCTCTTTTGGGTTGTACCCACATAAACCCAGTCACATGAGAGAGAAACCCCCGCAAAGGCAGCTTATGAACCTTTTCTTTTCCTTTTTTTTGCTCACAGATGCCTAAAAGTTGGCAACAATTGGGAATTTCTAGTTATTAGATACCATAGACTTACGTTTAGGAAACTGGTGGATGAATGAAAGATGCTCTAAGAATAGACATCAAAGGATGAATGGAAGGGCAAAATGAGAGAAGAAAAATGAGGCTAATCACAAAGAGTGGAGCATTCGTTGAGAATTCAAAAAAGAAGAAAATGGGAAATAACATAAGATTGAGGAGGGGAGAAAAGAGCCGCGCTTTTTTTCGGCTCAATTTCCTCCGGAGTCCCGTGCACCATAAAAGTACAGTAGGAAGATTGGCGGCGGCTAGCGAGCCGTAAAAAGACAAGGCGGAGGATGCATTAGCTGTATAATGATATAGATTCTGGGGGAGAGGATTGGGATTTTAAGGATTTTAAGGGAGGTCTTTTTTTTGGAAATGGGTTCGGAATGAGAATTGGGATCATGGACCAAGGCTTCGGACTTTCCAGTTACCATATTTCCTTTAAAAGAAGCCCACCCATTTGTCAACTTTGGGCTCAATTATCTTGGTTTCTGTGGAAGTTATCAGAAATTTGTAAACTGATAAAATATTTATAGAACTATGATAAATAATTTATCAGTTCACAAAGTTTTGATATCTTTCACAGGCATCAAGATAATTGAACTCAAAGTAGCCGGTTTTAAATGGCTTCCATTACCGTGATTTCATTCATTTCAAAACTTAATTTTTTGGAATGATATTTTTTAGAGTTTTCAAGTATTCACTGGTAACTACAAGTTTGAATAAAAAGCGAAAAAACGACAAAAAAAGTGAAGCTCTCTCGATGAGCACGCACTTGTGGAAATCGGAGCTCTCTGCTAGGAAGCAGCTTGCCCTCCAAACTGGATGAGAAATTGTAGGCGGTGAATAAATCAACGGGCAGAGAAAAAGAAGAGGGAAAATAGGCAATTTTCTCTCAAAAAATGGGGTGCCAAGGGCTCAAGTTCTTTTTTCTACCTTCGCTTTTTTCCAGATTGTTTTTGCACGGCTGCCAATACTCAAAAG